AGAGGTGAAGATGGGGGAGAGAGATGGTGGGGAGATGAAATTAGGGATGAATCATATTGTTTTTTTTTTTTGGGGAAAGGCTTAAATAATTAAGTTAGATTAGGGTTATAATAATTTGTAATTATGTGTAGTATTATGTGTTAATAATTTTTAAATGAGGGTATTTTGGTCATTTTATTGAAAAAAGTTACTATATTAGGAAAGAAATAGTTTTGTTGCAAATAATAGTTAGCAGCCTTTTTTGGTAAATGTTGCAAATAAGTGTTAACGAGGTAGTATTTTCATTTTTATCCTTTTCATTCTTGTTCCTAAAATGAATGACCATATCCGCGGCCGCAGCCACGACCATGACTATCGGAGTACTGGCGTGGTCTCTAGCCTTTAGCTCTTCTCCATTATGGGATGCCACATTCGCTATAGAGCCAGTTAGGTGTGATTTGTGATTTTTTTTTATTAATAGTTCATTATTCTCAGAATATTTTGTGAAACCCTTTTCACGGTATTGATTTTTTTTTTTATTAATAGTTCATTATTCTCATAATATTTTGTGAAACCCTTTTCACGGTATTGTGTCTAACTTTTCTACATCCATGATTTTCTCTCCACATAATTTCAATTGTGATGTTATTCTGAACATGGTTGAGTTGTATTCACTCACAGAATTAAAGTCTTGTAATAACGAGCTTTTGGTAATATCCCTGTTTTCTGGTGGTCATACTTCTTCTTATATTACTCCAAAGGGCTTGTGGGTCTTTAACGGTCACTTAAGGCCTTCATGAAGGTGGTGGCGAAGGGATATCATAGCTTTAGCCGTGTCTTGGCTTGTTGCTTTATTATTTTCTTTGATAGTATCACAAAGCCCCTTTGCATCTAGATGTATTTTAGCATCTAACACCCATAGCTGTTTCCAATAATATCAAGAGCAACAAGTTCGAGTTTTGCAAGGTTTTACATGATTTACTTTTCTAGTGGAGAAACTATAAAGTTGCTAATCTTAATATGATTGAATTCATTCATACGTCTGCTTCGGCAATAGTGCTTATAATGTATTAAATTATAAAAATAAATATAGATAGAGATATGAGGGAATATTGTTGTATCTATTATTTCATCTAGTACGAAATATATATACATGTAGATTATCTACGGTTTTCTTGGATAAGATCAAATAGCCTAACTCTAGAATGTTCTATAGAGTATATGGGATGGTCATCCACTTATTGTTTCTTAACAAAAACCACATTTTAAAATGAAGTTTTTATTAGAAACCACCTTTTATTTTTTATTTATTTTTTTATTTTTTTTTATTTTCTTTTTTTATTGTGTGTGAAGTAACACCTTATGACGGATTTCGGCTTTGACTTTCCTTTTTTGGCATTAACCACCCACGTGATTGCTACAAACACCCATGTTAGCCACACCACCATCGGAACCACCATTGCCTCCCCACCGAACTACTTTAAAACCCATCAAATGCTTTCAAAATCGCTCACCCACCATTTTAAAGGCTTAAACCCAACCCAACTACCTAAAAACCACCCACTTACACCCAAAAATCAACTTAAGAAAAAACCCTAACATCCCTAAGCCCATTCTTCTTCGAATTTTCAAAACAAGCTCACCCACTCTCGAAACTACTTGAAACAATTGGAAAACCAAACCACCTAGCCTTAAAACCAACGTTACAAGGAATGCAGTACGGAGCCACGAATCGCGAACTGATTCATGCGAACCGAAACGCGGAACAAACGCGACCTGGGTCGCTGGTGGTCGCGACCAGAACGCTAAAGGTGACGACTCCTGAGCAAACATGGTTGTTCTTCCTCTGTAACTTTTAATGGCTTGTTTCCCGACATATTCAGGGGTCGTTTGGTTGGGGATATTCAACAAAGGGAATGGGAATCGACGGGAATCATTCCCTTTGTTGTTGTTTGTGAGGCCACTTTCCATTTCCCCTTTCCCCCTTCATTCCCCAAATCCCTCCAAGTTCATTCCCCACCCCCCAAGGTATTTCCATTCCATTCCTTGGCCACCACCACACCACCATACCACCACCCTCCTACCTACCCACATCACCGGAAAACTGCACCACCGCACCACCGCCATCCCTTCGCCGCACCTCCCCCACCAATTTCCCAGCAACCCATTTCACCAAATTAGTACCATCTTCTCTAAAGGTCGACAAAATCCTTCTGAATTAGAAGCTTGGTAAGTCCACTTACTTTCATAACTATCGCACATTAACCCCTTTTGATATTGCTCAAATTTTGTATCAATGTCGTGACAATCTGCATCTGGGTTTAAAGTTTATTGATTCTTTCTTGTTTAATTGCCCTAATTTTCGACATCACGCGGTGAGGGTGTGTGGTTGTGGTGGTGGTGAATCTAGTGATTCCCATTGTTTTTTTACAACCAAACAACATACTACATTTGAGGGATTTTCATTCCATTCCATTTCATTCCCTTTGTTCATTCCATTCCGTTTACCCCCCCTCAATGTAATATGTTCTATCTTCCTTCTTTCACGTGCATTTGCTTATTTACTTTCTGAAGTTTTTTTTTACTTTTTTCTCTCCCCTCTCTTGTTTTACTAGGGTGATGGCTAGGGTGTTGTTTCAATTGGTGAATGGGCTTAATATTCTATCAATAACTTGGTCTGTTTTTTAATGAACAACTTGGGCTTTTTATTTTATACTCTATTTTTTTAGCAATCCACTCACCTGATATAAATTTTATGGAGGAGTTAGGATATACTTGTATTTATTTTAATTTCCAATATAAAATCTATTAAAAAAATTACCTATATATATTTTTTTATTAATTTACTTATTTCGTACCCAATCATACCGGATTCACCACGGATAGCACTTTGCGTATTCGTTTCCGTACCACGTTTCGAATCGAATCCCGTCCCATTTAACCTTGGTTAAAACAACCCTAATCATCAAAAAAATCCACCCAGTAGTTAACTCTAAGAGAGAGATAAAGATAAAGGGGGAAAATCAAAGAAAAGAGAGGAGGGGCGGTGGAGGGGGAAGGGGAAGTGGTGGAGTAGCCATGGCATGAGGGAGAATGAGAGTTAGAGAAAAGTTAACGTCGGAATATGTAATTCAACTTTGGTAACATCGTAGTTTTTAATCTTCTCAGTGGTGAATTCTAATAAATTTTATTATTCTTGGTAAACTCTAATTAGCTATAATAGCAAATGGTAACATTAATGATGTTTATATGCAATTATAAGCCTAACCATGGTTAATTATTTATTTTTTTAATAATAAAATTATATTAAAATTAAAAAAATAAAAAAATCCTTTCCCCCACTCACCCAGCCACCACCTGGCCCCCTCCTCGGCCGACGGCGCCAAGCCGCCGGCGATCCCCTACCCCTCCCTCTCTTCCGGCGACCCCCAACCCTCCCTCACCCCCGATTCCCATCTCCCCTCTCCCACTCCCACTTTCCCACCCCGATTCCCATCCCTCTCACTCCCCCACCAAAATCCGTCCCTCCGGCCTCGCCTTCCTCGAAAACGCCTCCTTCTCCACCCTAAACGCCAAATGCGACGAATCAGCCTCATTTCACGCACACAAAGTACTACAAAACAACCTCTTTTCTTTCGAATTTGTTTTAACAAGCTTAATATAATGTAGTGAAATTGAGATGGGTTTTGGGATTCAAGGGCATAAGAAGCGATTCCTGCGAAAATTAGGGTTTTGCCGAGGTTAGTGTTGCAGCCAAGAGAGGGAGGAGATGAAGGTGAAAAAAGTCGCCGGCGAAATTGAAGGTGAAGGTGAAGGTTGAAATTGCAGAGTTGAGTTTTGGAGGTGATTGTTTGGGGAACGGGATTCGGGGCTGAGGCCGGCGGTGGGCGGTGGGCGGTGGTGGCTACTGCCGGTCAGGGGGAGGGGGAGGCCGGCGCGTCGGCGACAGAGAGGCTGGACACCGACGTGGGTGGGGGCGGAGAGTGGTGGCTGGCTGGAGGGGGAAGGGGTGGTTTTTTTTGTTTAAAAAAAGTTATTTCTTTTTTATTTTTTTAAAGTAAACAAATATCAATAAAATAAATAAATAAACTAACTATAGTTAAATATTTAACTACAATTTATCATTAATGTTATGGTTAGCTTAAAATAAAAAATTCAAGTTTACCAAGGATAATAAGAATTTTCGCAGTTTACCTCTGAGAAAATTAAAAACTACAGTGTTACTAAAGAGAATTTCCCTTTTATTTTTATCTTTCATACATAGTAACAATCTTCTGTTAAACTTTTATGTTAATGATAAATCATGATTAAACAATGTAGAAGATGTTTCAAGCACTCTTACTATCAAATTGATGTACTTATGTTGAGGAATTGAAACAGTAAAACTGTAATTTATACCACAAAATTCTTGGATATCCTAATAAAACAATTATGTCACCTTATTTTTGTCAATCAATTAAACTTGACAAACATTTCTTAGCTAATTACTGAAAAGAACACTCATGCTTTGCTCAGTCAGAGCTTAAAGAAAAATAATGATACTAAATGATGTTGACAAATCGGATTCTGGATTCTTACTCGGAAATGTTTTATATCGAGGCTATATGAAGCCATAATCCTTATCAAGATCAAGTAGTGTCTGTCATTTGTCTTAATGCCTAAATTATATGGATTTCCAGAAATAATTGTCATTATTTTAGTGTAACTTGTTACAAATTTAATCTGTGGATGGAAAGAATTATTTAATCTAATAAAAAGTATTTCCTCAACCTTTAAATAATGCAGAGTGGACCACCTTACCATTTTTTTGAATCAAGGTGATTTTGGTCTTTCATTCATGCTGTTAAATTTCCTATCTTATTTTGTTGTCAGTGAAAGTTCTTGTGGTGACTAGAAATAGTGGAATCTTTATTTAATCTTAGGAGTTGAAAATATATCTTTGTGAACCTTAGTTTATAGACGGATGATTTAATTTCATGTGTTAATTGTGTGGCAATTTTCATGCAATTTTCTTGCTTTAGAGACAAGCTGCAGATGGTGGATTTCAGGGAAGATTAAACAAACCCAGTGACACATGCTATGCTTTCTGGTAAATTGGGGTGGCCTATCTAGTAGTAATGTAGTAAACCTAGTTACATGCTTGTTTTGTCATCCTGAAGATGAAAATTTTTCACTTGTAGGGTGGGTGGTGTGTTGAAGATATTGGGAGGCAGCAAATTTGTTAACAAAGAAGCCTTGCGTGATTCGCTACTGACTTGTCAATCTGTGGTAAGTGATTCTCTAACCAAGGGCCCGTAGACCCGTTACATTCCTGACTCCCCTTCAAACCTCCCCTTTTATGTCCAAATAACTCAAAACACACTTGAAATGTGCTAAATGGCCATGTTTGTCATAAGTTTGTCAAAGCTTCTCTGGTAATGTACCTCAGGTTAATGCTTATTCATTAGTAATTTTATTACATGCTGTTCTGTAAAAACCAGAAGCTGATGAATCTGTATATCGTGAATTTTCTTGATATGGTGGCAAAATCTTTCTTAATAATGATGATGCTTTCTTTCATATAGTATATGATGAAATTCCTGTTTATCATTTCCGATGGAATTGATTATATTGTCTTTCTGTAGTATGGCGGTTTCAGTAAATTTCCAGGGGAATTGCCGGAGCTTTATCACTCATATTACGGGTTCTCTGCATATAGTCTGTTGGAGGAACCTACTCTGAACTCCCTCTGTGTTGAACTTGGAATAACGAAGAGAGCTGCATCTGGATCTTGATTTAAGATCTCATTCATTAAAAGTTGATTTACTTGAGGCACAGATTGTATCATATCATTTGTTGTACACTACAACAGAGAACAGGAAGCATGTAACTTCAAGGCTGGTTAGACATACTACGGATCGGAGAAGTGACTCGAACTTTTTTTATAGGGTTTCAGCCAAAGTTTCTTCATCGCCGAAAACTTTATAAGTTGGATAAAATACGTAGGTTGTGATGTTTAGAGGGGAAAAAATATACCGTCGGCAGTGATTTGCTCTTGAACAATCTGTAAATTCTCTTCTTTTTCATTTCCTTTTTTTCCCTTCTCTGGTACATTTGTTCAATGTTGGTTTGATTGTTCCAGCCTTAAGAGTAGACATTTCAAAGTTGATTGATAGAAAGCGTATGTTTTACACGAAATACATGGCAATTCTTTTTACCTACATATGTTTGATATGATCATCATTTTTTTTTTAATTATTTATTTATTTATTTATTTTTCTATTTTTTATTTATATTTTTTGACTGATGATAGTGAGACTGAATAAATTTGTGCTTCATCCTTAAGACTCAGATTTCTCTGATCTATGTTTAGTAGGCTGTGGTTTTATGGAACTTCCAGGCAGCTATCATAGCTTCTCTCTGCAACATACTTCTGTCAACCACATCCACAGCAAAATTCCCAAGGAAGGTTGGTAAATCAAATTGGGGGTTGATTATAGACAACCCCATAAGCAACTTGAAAGGCATTGTAAGGATGATACAGTGCAACAAAATCTACATATTTACTCAATTTTTCAATGACCAAAGGTAACATCTTTGCCATTGGACTTGGGTAGGCTAGTAATTAAATCCATGCACTTCCCAACAAACTTCTTCTGAAATTGGAGGGATTATAATTAACTAGGTCTAGCAACATTGTTATATTTGACACTTCCTAAAGACGCCAACAACTCAAAATAGTGACTACAGCTGCACCAACTAGTGCATCTAAAAGCTCTTCTTACGCTGGAGTAGAGAATTTTCTTTCGCAATCTTCTATTTAATTCCCAGTAGTCTACGCACAATCTCCAAGTACCATCCTTTTTCCCAACCCATACCATTGGAGAAGCAAAAGGACTTGAAATATTGTGCACAATTGCTCGGTGTTGCATTTCCAGAACATGCTATTAAATGATATATCTCTACCTGAGAGAATATCAGTAAGGTCCCATGCTTACAAGAGATTCTTTTATTCCAAAAACAGTCCTAGAATCGATGACTCTTCTATGTGGTGGTTATCTAAATAGATGTTCAAATATCATATGAAACTCTTCTTCAATCTTTGCATTCTAGATTTTCAGTAAAATGAAAATTGACCTTAAGTTTTAGGCTTTGTTATAGGTTTATAAGGTCAGGCTATAAGTTTTTCTTCTTGCAATCTTGCGTAACTAACGGTATTAGATTGAAAATGGTTTAATTTTTGACTTCAATCCTCGCACAAAACTCTCAAGCACATAATCTTCGGTCAACATATGACCATTTTGCAATAAAATTGACCTTAAGTTATCAAATTTATCAACATAATTCTTAGTGAATCATTTTGTGTAGACGTGTATTTTATTAGACTGTTTAAGTGTTTAACAACATTAATCCCTTTACCATCCTTTATATTAGTAGTAACATCAATGAGAAAATCATTTTATTCAACATTTTTCTTACAAACTAACTAGAAACTATCAATCATGTAAATTTAAATTGAAGCTAAATCTACTCTAGTTTCATCGATGGAAAATGGTGAGAAAAATCAATTCTCCTCATCAATGGAAAGGTGAGCACAATTGAGAGTGCTCTTCGGAATAAAGCACTCTCAATTGAGTTAGTTCAGGATAGTGGGTCACTATGGTTTGGTTAATTTCATACTATTTCACTCGGGTTGTAATCAAATTGGACCATAGATTGATTTGAAACGAATTTGGTTGAGACTTGAGAAAGGGTTTATTCGAAATAAAGCGGATTTGAAATTAAAACAATTCGGATTAATCGAACCAAAAAGAAATGTCACGTTTTATTTCAAAAGTTCATTAAAAACCAATAAGGAGATTACAATAATGGTATTACAAACTAGAATTGAGCTCCTAATTAGATCCACCCACAACAAACAAATAATTAACTCCCATAATTTTCAACACAGATTTGATTCTTTGGTTTGTCAGCTTTTCGGCCCATAGTATTAACGACAGAACTTCACGGGATATTCCAGTACATATTGTTTGCTTATCAAAATGAACCGAAAAAGACACTTGAAAAGTCACTTTGATTCTTCTTCTTTTCAACCAATTTTTACTTTCATTTTGCTAATTAACTTTCTACAAACTGACAAATGCAAAAGTCTTTAAACTATGCCAAACTTGATAGTTGAGTATCACTTAAAAAGTGTTGTGATTTCTAGAGGAATTTATCAAGATTTTCATCATAACTACCACAAATTTTGATTTTGTTAGACATAGACAAGTTGTGGTGTGGGATCATGTTGGTTAAGCTTGGCAAAACTTGTATGTTGTGACACTTCATGGCTTTTTGGCTATATAGGACCTTAGTACACAATCGTTTTCAACAGGACAAAGATATTTTTTCCCCGAGCCAAAAATTATTACCAAGCCAGATAAAAGGACGGACTAATAAACTGTCTTGTTAACTATGAACATTGTCTTTAATTACCTTTAATAGAGTATCGTTTTGTTAATAGTCAAGCAGTGCTAAGAATGTTTAGAATATACTCTGGTATGTTGCCAATTGTGTTAAAGATAGCTTTTAATATCGTCTTATCTCCTCATGACCAAAGGTTTGAAAATTCACTTAATTTTATTTAAGAAATGTGACAATCTCTTTTTATCTCTTGATACTTTCACCATACAACCAGTTGTAAGTTATATGACTCTTACAAAGTACGAAAAGTTATTTATTTATTTTTTTTTTTTATGTGCTCAACAGGTAAAACCAGTTGTACATAGAAAATTGCCTTACCTTTTTACTCCGTATCTTATTGACCGCAATTACCTAACATAATTGAAAGCTAGCTCACACAGGATAAATGTACTGTGGTCCTCTTTGATGCACACAGAATTTCACACATACTCCATGAAACTGTTCATCTATAAAAGTTATATATATACTGATATTGTACGGCACTAGAGTTGCAGAATTTATCGTATATTATGGCTGCTTGCATAGTAAGTAGAGGTTCAAGGGTATTGCTATATGCCCATATTTAAGCTATTAGTTTTTTTTTTTTTTTTTTTTTTTGAAAGCAGCTATTAGTGTAAATAATGCTTCGCATAAGTTAAAATAAAAAATAAAAAAATGGCTACAACTCAGTATTCTTGTATAATAAATCTTGAACCCTAATATATTTTTTTGAAAGAGAACCCTTATATTGGTTATATACTCACTTTGATTTATTTAAGGATCTCAGACTCTGTCACATCAGCTTTTCACTAATTTTTAAATGCTAATCAGACTCATATAAGACTTTCTTTACTTTTGCACAATATCCCATTACTCACTTTCATTAAAATATTGACTAACAAAAAATAATCACATTTTTTGTCTTTCTAATGAGTTGGCAGCACATTATTGGTCAACCAAAAAAATCTGATTTTTTCCTCTAAAGTATAGTCTTACGATGGGGTTTGGATTTCAAAACTCATCTCAGGACTACATGTAGTCTTTGCATATGCAAGAGTCTTGCTCTCAAGACTCCTTCCAATACTTGCAATAAACTCACCCTAAAGATTAGGAAGCTAAGAACTCAATTAGAGTTCGGAAAATAAATCTTATCACAATCTTATCTACTACATATGCATACATGATCCATGCTTTAAATATTCGCAATAAGGATCCTACTGAACTATCACATCTTATGGGTCAACCAGCCTAAGGTGAGTTCCCCACCATTTCTACCAAGCTTAGTTAGTTAACAACTATTTTAAATTAGTACAGAGAAACTATGGAAATTTTGGGTGTATCTCTTCACCTTATTGGACTTGAACTTATTTGAAGTTCTGAATTTAACTGAACTTATTAGACTTTATTGAACTTATTAGACCCGATTTAACATATTAGACCTTGTTGAAACTCATTGGACCTTATTAAACCTTATCATTAGACTTGATTAGAACTTATTGGAAATTATTGGACCTTATTTAAATTATTGAAACTTATTAGACCTTATTGAACTTATTAAACTTATTAGGCCTTATCAAACTTATTGGACCTTATTTTGACTTATCTGAACTTATCTGGCATAAAACTTATTTTTATAAGGTGAAGAGAACAAGTCCAATTGTATTTCAAGTAAACACAAAACGTATCGAGAGTTGGCATATAAAATAAAATAGAGAGCAGATAAGATTCATGATGTTGGTGGGCATGGCAGCAGACTTATATACAAGCATCAAATTTGGTTAGTCCAAGAAAATATAATCTTGTAATTTTAGTGAATCAAAGCATTTGGAGTTTGTTTAAGTTAAATTTTGTATAAATTTCAAGAATTGGTTGAGATCACAGTTGCACTCACCATCTCCGAGATGCAATATGTTTGGTTGATTCATGAAAAGCATGCTAGAGTTCCCACTTACCCAACCTTACATATATAAAAGTGCAGCTCAATCATGGTGGATTTCAGTTCAATCTTGGTGGGATTCAATAGTAAACTTGCATTCAATAAAATAGTAACTCCGTTTCGTATTATTTGCAACAAATGGGTATTACTTGTAAGACATAAAACATTCTTTAGTAACATATAATAAGAAACAAAGGTAGCAATAGTATTTGAATCACTCCATTCGAACAAATCCGAATTGACTCGAAATTTATGATCCAATCTAACCAGACCTAGCTTGAACATATTAATGGAGTGAATTGATTTAGCAATAGAATACATTTGATCCGAACCGATCTAAACGAAGTCAAGCATCTTTTTGAACCCAGCCCAATTGTTGAATATATTTGAGCTTTGGGCATGTTTTTCATGCCAGAAATGCAATTTTGAGACAATTTTTGTGGCTAAAGCTCAGGTACCAAGTTTGTTAGAAATAGTAAACTCTAAATAGGCCATTTTTTGGTCCCCTTTTGGCCTGAGCCTAACATATGATTAGTTCTAATCAAATTTGATTGGTAATAGAATCGAATATCACCCAAATCAAACTGAGTGACTTTTAGACTTACTAGACATCGTTTTCCATCCGAGTTATTATCATTGGACTTATTATCATCCGAACGAAGTGTTGAATTCGACTTATTATCATTGGATTCATGTGTAACTTATTTTTCTATCATCCCAATCTATGAAAATTAACAACATTTGAACACTTGCTAAAACAATGACCATAAATCATTCAAGAGTAGTACCTTTCAAAACATTTGTGTAAATTCAAGTAAATCATCGAGTTGGCCTCCATGCATGGACAATTGGACAAATATGTAACAATCAAGGACTTCAATTTGCAATAATTTCATATGATGAATTATTAACATATTAATATTTATATAAGATGCAATAATAAGAACATGATCTCTGATTCTCTGGCTAGCCAACTAGCCTAGTGCCAAACTTCTAACTATTATTACTATAATCTAGTCATTATTATTATTAAACAAATGCAACCAAGTAAGGAAAAAATAATTAAAAAAAGGAACCAAAAGTTTTGGCCTAAAAAGAATTACAATCAACTTTTTAATCTGACAGCAAAGATCAATGTACTACTATATTGTTAGCAAAAACTCACATGAATGATTATGGGGTAAGTGACACCTTGGGCTTGAGAGTTTTAGAGATTATTACATTATATAATATGTTAGTTGTATGATTGAGCTCCATAAGTTTCCAACAAGTAATAAATGAACTACCAATTGCTATATATTGTTGCAGAGAATGTTGTTAATTTTTGGTGTGAATTTAACTCACACATTGTGCATTATTTGCTACTATGTTTCATTATGGAGTTCATATTGTTGGCTTTGTTTGGTAACTGACTTTTTGACAGATTTCTTAATGGTCTTTTGTTATCATATGGTCAAATAACCAAAATCTACGAGTATGTTTTATAGCAAAAAAAAAATTTTAGTCATTTGAAAAGGTGGTGTTTCTGATGACTTTCCGCCAAAATAAAAAGGGCTACTTTGAGGAGAGTTTATTACTCGTATAAAATGATTGTTTGCTTTTTAAGGAGTCACTAAAAAGGTTTGTCACATAACAAAGGTCGTGTCATGCCTGATTTTACTAAAAATTGATACTTTGTTGACTCAAACAATTAATTCAAATAGTCAATGCAATTAAATGGGTGAACGTGAAATAGCTAATTAAACTCATTGACTAACAAAACTAAGATTCAAGAGTCTTGAGGACCTGTCAAAACGAAGAAAAGAAGCTTATAATACAACTACAGAAAATGATAAATGCGGTTCTTAGGAGTATAGGACTGTATATATCATAAGATTCATAACCGTATTATTATATACAAGTACATGATTAACCATTGCACCAAAGTATTAAGAACCAAGGGTTGAAGGAAAAAGGATCATAATAAAAAAAAAAAAAAAAAAAGTAAAAAAAAAAAAAAAATCAAAAACAAATGTGAGTAATGCAACTTCACCAAAATCCACATCCCCACAAATGCCACCATTGGAATTCAAGAAAAACCCCAAAATTATATCCATAAACATTTTCTCATAAAAATTCACAAGGAAAACAAAAAAGATATTAAAAAAAATAAAAAAGACTTCATAATTCATCATACATTACATTGTCAAAAAACTCTTGAATTTTTTGTTAGATGAAGAAGCTAAGGTAGAAGAAGAAGAACAACTAATAGAAGTAGAACAAGAATCACCTGATTGAGAAGGAGGAAAATGATAATAATGATGATTGAGTTTATCATCGTCTTTATTATCATCCTTCCCTTTATGATTGTCATCAACAACAATTGAAATAAAAGACCCATTTTCATCCTCCCTAACTTTGTGCAAATCCCTCTCCAACTTTGCTTCTTCCATGAACATGAGTTTCCTTTGCAATTTCTCCTCAGCATCCCTTAAAAACTTGAATTTCGGAGGCGGCGAAAGCTTCACCATCCTATTAAATTCAGCATCACTTGATGCTTCATACATTGGATTATACCCACCACCACTTTGACTACTATAATTCGAAACCGGTGTCAAAAACGGAGGCGAAGGAATTGGTGTTAGATATGGAGAGATTGTTGCATTACTATTAGTAGTAAGTAATTCACTCAAACTCTTTGATTTTCGATCTTCAGACTCCAATAAATCTTCCTTTGTTTCTTCATTTATAGTAAACAAAAATCTTGGTGGACCCATAATCATCAATTCGCCTTCTAAAACACCATTTTCACCTTCCAATGGTTTTACCAAGTAATCTTGCTTGTTATTTTCTTGTTGAATTTGATGATTATGATGATGAAATTAGGCATCTGCGACTCTTGTCGAATCGATTGACGATTTGTATGATTTACTCCAGCAAAATTTGAAGCAAAACCCACTTTGCTTTGGATTATTGCTTCTACTATTCTCCTTAATCTCTCTGTTATTCATAATAATCCTCCTTTTCCACCATAATAAGTAGTAAATTTCAGCAACTAATGCTAATAATAAACATGTAAATACCACACTTAAACCGATTCCAATCCTGGTTAATGACTTCATCGACATTTGTTCATAATAATAAATCTCATTTGATGAAACTAATAACTCAAAAATGAAGGTAAAATAGAATTAAATAGAGATCTTACGGAGAATATATTCTTCATCTTCATCACATTATTTATGGTAATATATACCAACAAAATATTTTTGCCTAATTTGTAAATGGGTAAATTTTTTTTATTGGGTGCAACTTCCAAAATTGAAGATTTCAGGATTAAGATTTAATGGTGGAGAGAGAGAGAGAAATGGATAGATGTAAAAATGGAAAGAAATATGGAAGTATATGAAATTAAAAAAAGGAAGGGGACGGAATAATTAATAGGTGGAGAAAATTGTGAAATTTGGTTCGAGGAAAAATTAAGGAGGAAAGCTAAATGGGTGAGGCAAATGCAAATGGTGTGAGTGTAGAGCCAGAGGAGAGTTCTCACATCCTCCAAGAGAAGATCACATGGGAAGACCAAACAAAAAGGTGGTGTACTTGTCACCATCTCTTACATTATTTGCACAGCCATAAAGCACGGCTCACTCTATCTTATTTTTATTGAACTGAAATTATTTTTAGTGAAAAAATATTTTGCCTCTCCTCTCCTCTTCTCTCCTCCTCTCTTCTAGAGCTTCTCTAAAATCTTGGCCGTTTAGACTGAAAATAGTCTAATTTCTTCGGAAATTAGACTATTTCCGACCCTTTTCCCTTAAATTTCTTTGGTTTTGCAATTTAGGTTTCAATAAATCTACACGAGTAGTGTAGATTTTCGTCCGTCTCCCTATGGTGGAGTGTCTCCCTATGGTGGAGTCGTTAGTTTTTGTTAATTTAGTTGTTTGTTTATGTTTAGGGTTTGTTTGTGTGTTAGGGTTTATCAAAAAGGTAATAATCTTTTGCTCTATTGTCAGTTTGTTGGTAAAGATTTGTTTGGGATCGCAATGGTTGTCAAGTTTTCAAATGCGTTCAAGCGAATCAGATGAAAATCATCCTTACGACTACAACAAATCGTTAGACCGTCTTTCCGAAAGGGTTGTATATTCCAGCGATGTGTGCGAAAGATGTACCACAGTACAAGATCTTTTCAACGATCGTAGCTTTGATGAAAGGAAACCATAATTTGATTCAATTTTATGTATTTGTTAATTTAGATTTCATTTGTAGATGTCGGATGACTTTTTATTAATGAATTGATTTGTTTCAAAAAATAAAATTTATTTTACTGAACTGGAATTATTTTTTACTTATAAACTTAAATTATTGTTATTAAACTGAAATTAATTTTATTGAACTTAAATTATTTTAGTTGAAGTGAAATTATTTTTACTGATTCCCTAATAATATGTCTTCTTTAAAAATATTGAATTTTTCTTAACTGAACTTATTTCTACTGAACTGAACAATTTTTACTGAACTAATATTAATTTTACTGAACTAAAATTATTTTTACTGAATAATATTTTTTTAAAGTAAAGTGAATAGCTAGGACTTAAAACTACGACTCCACCGTTCAGGAACAATTGATACGCTGAGTTTTTTTTTTTTCATAATTTATACATTAAATTTGACCATAGTACGTAATAATGTATTAATAATATATCTTTTCATGAAACATATTTTTAAATAGGTATTAATATAAAGTTTATAACATCAACTTTTTTATATTATAAACTAATTTTAATTATATCTATCTAAGGTCAAACTAATGTATTGATATGTGTGTCAAGATTGATTGTGTCAATTATTTTGGGATAGAGAGAGTACTATTCACGCAATGCATGGTTAAATTATTTAAAATATATGTTTTCTCTATTTTTATTACTTGCAACACATTATTTTGTCACGCAATTTGAGAAAGTGATTTGAGTAGGCAAATGGACGTACTTAACTATAAAATTTAAACCGTAGCAACTTAACACTTTCTTCTTACTAGTGGAAAATTATATCAATTAATTTGTCCGTTTACCTAATCTAAAATCTTCCTTAAAATGTGTGCCGAATAGGTGTGTTGCAAATAATTAAAATCAGAGGTAGTATTTATGGAATATCTTCATTATAGAGTAGTTGTTACAATTGAATTTAAAAGTTAATACATTTGCTAATATAATATGACCATTTATAAAAATGATTAAACGATGAAAAGTTGATAATATGAAACTATATACTACGAGTAATACTAATACCTACGAAGTTCTTTGTATTTAACATTTTACAGTATAATATTTTATATTAATACATTATGGTTAAAATTGTTATATGAATAGTAAAAAAGTCAAATTGTGTCAACTAAATCATTAAAAAAATATTTTATCTTTATTATATAAGCCAAAGGGGAGAATATGCATAATGTCCACCTAAAAAGACCTTAGTACTCATATTGGCTTATATTACAATATTAAATAAAAGGGCAAAAAAATGAAAAATCTGCCCCATCTTCTTCTATTACAAATATGTACTTTCTAAATTAACTCTGTAATTTCATAAATTTACAATAAATAATTCTAACAAATCAATCGCGCAATCAATGAATTCAATTTTTTTTTCTAATAACAACAAGATTATATTCTTCATTTATCAATCTTCTCATTTACAAATCAATAATTATCTAATTACACTACTAGAAAACAAGCCATTTCCGACGGAAAAATTCCGTCAAAAACACCTTGTTTTCCGTCGGAAAACCCATTTCCGACGGAAATTTCGTCGGAATCGGTTGTCGGAAAGCTATTTGTAGGAAAAACGACCTTTTCTCGACGGAATTTTCGACGGAAATCACGCATCGGAAGAGAAATTTCCGACGGAATACAAATCCGTTAGAAATTGCCGACATAATTTTTGTCGGAAAATGCTTTAAAAAAAATAAAAAAATAAAAAAAAACGCCCCACACCACCCCTACCAGCCTACCTAACCCGTACCACCACCCCATCGACGCCCAGCCACCCAGAACCCGACCACCAAAACCAAACCCGTAAACACACTAACCCCTACCAGCCCACCTAACCCGTAAACACACTAAACCACCTCAACACCCACCAAAACCCGTAAACCACCACCAGCCGTCACCACACACCACCAGCACCCACATCACACTATCAGCCCAAACCCTCACCAGACCCACCCAAACCGGAAAAAAATAAAAACAAAACATCCAAAATTAAATTCGAACAATACAACCTAGATCTATTAACCACCTCGCCACCCCCAACCCAAAATCCGAACTCCAAAAGCCGCCACCCAGCAACACCAGCCGCCACCACCATAAATTTTCAACCAACAATTAAACAATAAACCTCTAGATCCGAAAAAACAACAACAAAATAAAATCAAAATTAAAATAAAAGGAGATACATACCTTAATTCAACCACACAAAACCTTGAAATCGGGTTTATGAGGACAAATTCGACCATGAAAACTCTAGATCGTTGAATTTGACCTGAAAACCTTCGTTTTCAACATGGGAAGAGAGAGAAAGGGAGAAAAAGACCGTTTGCCTTAATCTGAAAACTCGAATTGGTTGTTGTGCGGTTTTATTGTTGGTGGTTGTTGTTGATGTCGGTGTTGGTCCAGTTTCGGCGGTCAGTTTCGCCGGTAGTGGTTAGAAGATGAAAGAGAAGAAGAAAAAGAAAAGAAGAAGAGAGAAAGAAAGAGAAGATGAAAAAGAACGAGAAACAAAGAGAAGAGGAGAGAGAAGGAGAACGGATGAGAGAGAAAGGGGAAGGAGAAAGAAGTAGCGAAATGGAAGGAGGGGGTGTGTAGTGTGTTTTAGGGTTTTGTTTTAAAAAGTTTTTTTTTAAATATTCCGACGGAATTTAAATTCGTCGGAAATTGAAATTCCCGACAGAAATTCCGTCGGAAATTGAAATTCCCGACGGTAATTCCGTCGGAAAGTACATGTTTTCCAACGAAATAATTTACCATCGGAAATTTTCGACGGATTTCCGACGGAAATTTTGAATTCGTTGGAAACATCCGATGGAATTTAAATCCGTTGAAAATTTCCGTTTTTTCGACGGATTTACGTGTCCGTCGAAACCTTTCCGTCGGAAATCGACCTGATTCTAGTAGTGTTAATTCCTACAAATATTCCTATAAATTCTATTTGTTTCACTCTTTTGATGTAATGTATAAACATAACCACCTTCTCTTCTTTTACTTGGGCCTTGATCACTTCACCTAATTTTTGTTGAACTGAAATTATTTTTACTGAACATAATTATTCTTGTTGTACTTAAATTACTTTTACTGAACTGAAATTAATTTTGCTGAATTGAAATTATTTTTAATGAGCTGAAAGTATTTTTACTAAATTAAAACTATTTTTATTGAATATTTTTTTAAAGTGAAGTGAACAGGGCCTTACACCATTTCTTTTTATCTTTCTCTATGACCATGTGCTACATTTAGTTAATAACGAGTTGATCGAAGATGTTATTGTTGGTTTTATTACTTGTAATTGAACAGCTACTAACTACATATATACTCAATGATCAATGAATCTTACTTTATTTGATAATGACTATCATACCATTGGTTGGTTTACTTTTAATTTAAACTTCTTTACATATTGGACCATCTTTATTCTTAACTAATTAGATCTTGATAATAATTTAAATATTGTTTAAAACTAGGGAATTTTAGAAATTAACACCACAAAAAAGTCACGATTTTGATTA